TGGCGGAACAACAAGAGTGGGACTCGCGCTCGCCAAGAGGCGTTGACATGACACTGTTCCGTTTCAGTCGGTGTTCCGCCACAGTTCCACGAGCGCGCGCGTACTCGCGATTCATTGAAGCCGACTGAATCGCGAATCGCCACTCTCAAATTTGACGAGCAGGATCCAGCCCTACTGCACAGCCAAGAAAAATTTCCTTTTAGGAAAATCAAGTACAGTGAATTGTCTATCTTATTAAAAAGTATATATAATATTTTTTTAACTTACAGATCTACTGTTGATCGTTTTACAATGAGGGGTACATCCTTCTTGGGTCTTCTAGTGGCCACATCGCTGTTTTCCTACGTCGCTCCAGCTGTCTTGCCACGCCAAGGAACCCTCTCTTGGGGAAACTCCGCTCCGGATGAGCAGAAAGATGAGGGCCTTCTTTTGTCTAGAGATTCTCCTCTTGCCGAGATCGGGGCACGTCATGATAATGCGAACGCTGGCTTTGTGAACGACGACGACGAAGATGATGACGGCAATTTGGTTGATCAGGACATTGGAGGAAAGATCATTCCGGAAGCGGAAGGTCTGTTGGAAGATGATGAGGACTTCCTCGCAAGTCTAGGTAAGATCGAGCGACAATCCATCTGTCTGTTCTCAGCTTTTCTCCGCATCCTAAAAGACCTAAATTGCGCGTGGATGGGAGCGCAAAAACACCTCCATTTAAAAGAAATCAAAACAAAACTTCCTGGGTTGTTGGGGGGGTTTTTTAGTTCGCAGCTCTGCACAAAGTTTAGAAGACGGCCTATTTACAATTTAATAAGCAAATTTAAATGTTTAATTTAGACTTAATTGTTGTTAATGTTCCTCACATACGTTCTTCGTGTTGACCAATGCTTGGGTATGCCTTTAGTTTGGTTATTAGTTAGCTTATTCTCATAATTGATATTGTCTGCATGTGTGTGATTAACTCTGTCGGAATTGCCCAGTAGTTAGGTACTAATACTGACAAAGTCACCGCCATAGTATGAGACTTCGTGCAATGTTTGAACTGCTTGAAAAACTTTTTTTTTTCAAAATTTTTGTAATGTGTTAATGTATTTCTTCACTTGGCAGATCTGTGGAAGAGTCTTCAAGACTGGGAATTCGATAAAGATGTCGACTTTTTGCCCAAACGCCGAAGTCCAAGGGCAGCATCACAGCGGTCAGGGTCACGAAGGTCAGGGTCACGAAGGTCAGGGTCACGAAGGTCAGGGTCACGAAGGTCAGGGTCACGAAGGTCAGGGTCACGAAGGTCAGAGTCACAAGAACGGTCGGGGTCACGAGAGAGGTCAGCTATGAGCAGACTTTTTGACGAATCTGAACCCGGACGAGTGAGCAGAAATGGAAACCGCATAACTCAACAGTTCGAAAGGTAAGAGTTCGCTGTATTCTCTCATTGGGGACACGAATTCTGGTCATTCGGCAACGCTTGAAGATGTGCTGTTTTAGAGCTCATTTGCATTTATACTTGTGTAATTCAAACAATTTTTTTTCAAGTCTGTTTGGGTCAGAGATTGTCTTTATAAAGTAGGCGATTTTACACCCTCATCGACACAATATAGATAATTTATTTAGGAGGCGCA